CCCAAGCGATCGCGGACAAAGGTATCCAATTTATCCTTGCCGACGAAGAAAGCAATATGGATATCGATGACATCGAAAAAAGCTTCGAGCTAAAGCGGAATAACTTGTTTCAGTACATGTTTGCGGTGTCTCAAAACTATTATTGAACCCATCTGCATATGAAGCCCACTGAAGGAGGGGTTTATGGCATTACATATCCCGGGCTCATAATAGTATATCTTTGATCGAGGAGCTAGTGTTTCCTAATAGTAGCTGCTATCTTACTATTACTAAACGACCACCATTCTGTAACCATCACAGTTAAGTACGCATATTATTATTATTGCACGAGAGAAATACCGGGGTGGAATAGGATCATCAGGGACCAAAACTGAATGATTATAGGAACTACCTCGCCGTTAATGACGAATTATCGTGTTGTTTTCCACTGAAAGCTCGGGGATGTAAGGGCGCCATCGAATATCCGCGACACGCTCTCTAGGTTTCCTACAAGCTTGAGCAACGGGGTCAGCAAGTCTGCCACGTTGGTTATGCAGGTCACCCGTCCAAACGTTGGATCCCACTCGAAACACGTCCACCCTCGCATTTGAATCCGCTGGCCCACTAATATCTTCGCGAGTGGCGAGTCGTCCATGTCGATGCACAAGTGGGGGAACACGCTGCGTAAAGTGCGCTCCTGGATGGTAATGCTTGTTGTAGATGTGGCAAGCAGGGAGTCTGCGGCTCCCTTCTTGATCTCGTCAAGCTCTACTAAGACGTCTTCGAATCGGAGCGACACGCACATCCAATGCTTAATCAGTGCATCAACGCCTTGTTCCGCGTTAAATAACACGTCTGGCAGCATGGCCTCTCGCACACAGCTTAGTTGGTCATTGTACTGTGTGTTCTGTGTGGAACGTGACGGTGTCCGCACCACGTTCCGAAGTCCATAGCGAAAGAGTCGAAAGTACTCGACCACAAAGTACCAGACGTTTTCCTTGGTCGGAATGGACGCAGCGATATCAGAGCGATGTCGTTTCAGCTGGTTGATTTCATCACGTAAATGATCCGTTTCTATCTCGAGATTCGTGGTTAAGGCAATCTGCTTATGCCTGTAACGTCTCTGGTTGTTGCGACGGCACTCGCGCTGCAATGCTTGTTTTGACGCCGCAATAGCGGTTTGCTTGCGGCTAGAAAACTGGTCCTGGGCCTCAAAATAGATCCCTTCAGGACGCCACCTTGACTGTCCACTCGTTTCGTTTAAACGCGAAGGAGGGCGGACATCTAGTGACAACAGCGGTTCAGTGAAGGATTCTTCTGTTATTGAGTCGTAGCACGGCATTGACATCGTCTGGATTGTTGAGTGTCTGGGTTGTGATGTCAATGTGAATACAGAAATGGGTGTGAATCTGTCATAGCTCTTGAGTTCTAGTCATTTCTCATGAGTGTGTGGCAATCACTTACACGAGACAAAGATTTCGCTCGGTAGGTTCGTTGACCAGCACTGGTGGTCATACTGGACCGTTTATATTTATTATGCCACTTGGGGGATGGACGTTGCCATATGGAAGCATATTGCAACAGGACCTGTTACAGACCTGTGAGCACCCAGTAAATTGTAAGCTATTACTACGGTAAGTGGCAGGCGTAGCTGCTGACTGTCAGACTGACATCTACTGGCCTACCTACTCGGTGCCTAGACGTCGACGATGTTATTGGTCGAAACTATGTGAGAGAAACCTGTCATTTTTCAGCTTTGCTAGCTGTCATATTTACCATGAGCATTGCTAAAAAGATCCTCACGGATCTTGGCAAGCCACTAAGATCTACTCCGCGCCCAGCGTACCGTTCATTTTGTACCCATTCAGCGCCAATAAAGTACAGCCAGATTGATTTGGCGCCAAACTTGTGCACCTTGTTCCGATGACCGCTTGGTAGATGCCCAGTCAGCATAAACCACGCGGTCATCGGGACATCGACCAAATGACAGGTAGCACTCCTATGCACGAAACCAGCGCGGAGCAGTAACTGCTGTCTGGGCACTGCAGATTCTGCCAATCCCTGCTTGCTGTAGCGCGACGTGTGCATCGAAGGTATATCTGAGGTCTTGTACCAATACGCCAGATTTGGTGAGATTGATCCACGAACAGCAGCCACCTTAATTCGAAAGAGTGACTCATCAGTGGGTGTCGATTTACGTTTAGAAATGTTCTAGACGTCGAGGTGTAAATCTTCGAATACACCAGACGTTGACAGCTTTAGCTACTGGTACCAAAGGTTCAACCTTAGGTTGTTACTACCAACTTCGTAGGCACCGAGTAGGTGCCAGCGGCTACACCTGCCACTTATTAACAGTAATACTTAGATTTTCGGATAGAAAGCAACGCTTATGTACACCTGTCGGGTGTTCTGAAAAATTCCTGAAAAGCCTTCTGTTTCGAACTTTTATGAGCGGCAGCGCCGCTATTATAGTTTAGAGGTGACCGATTTAAAAAAATAGCCGTACTAATCTGAGTTTCTCCCATCGAATCAAAAGTATATTCTGTCGGCGAACCATTAATAACGCATGCGTCCAAGTGACTCTTACAGTCAGCGCAGTCCCTATTACAGACAATTCTCTTTGTAAGTGATACAGTTGGAAAACCACTTTTATCACTTTCCGGAGGATTCACTTTACCATACATGGACACCACTGCCTTCACGGCTGCTGCTGCATTGGCCTTCAATGAACACCAAGCCCTTTAATGAAGCGCAGGACTTTAGAAATTCCCGCGCCCGTCTTTGTAAACTGCTGGAAGCACGCGGGTCTTCTGGACTACCACAGTTGTGAATATGAAAGTTTTGAAGAGGCGACCATCGTTCCATGGTGATGTCGCACTTGCCCCAAAAGACCTGATGGCTATCGCAGAGCATCTATACACGCCAGAAGATAAGCCGTACTTATTCGGACGTAGTTCACTACATGTAAACGAGTTTTTCCAATGCTTTTTTTAAAACCTCTTGATAGTAACAATTATTGATGTGGTCACTAAATACAATCTGGAGTCTAGAGTATTTTTGACTTAACACCTTGCAGCATTGAAAGCAACCCCTCAGTTTAGCACAAAACAAAGGAAAAAGATTATGGAATCGGACAAATTCTGGTCGCTACACCATTAAATCATACTTTTGAGTGGGGGAGGAATCGTTAGCGGAGGGATTCTGAGTGGGTATGAATAATGATAGGATGGATAATCACATCAATTAGCACTCACGGTTAGAGATGCCCAAGCAAGTTGTCAGTGCCTATGTCCATACTGTTGACAAGGTCTCAATGTCATTGAGTGACACAGCTACGTGTCGTCAGCCATGCTTAGATTGTTCTGCAGCGGTACATGATTAGTATCGTGTCTGGAGTAGCTAATAGAGCATGACGCAATAAAGCTATCGTACTGTGTCGTGTCACGACTGTACGCACGACCCGTTTGCGTTCGTTAGCTGTTATATCCACTCAAACGCAGAGAATTACAGCGCGGCGAAGGGATGTAGCATAGCGTTTTCATTAGAAACGACGGGATCTGCTGTAAAATACGCATCGCAAGTACGAACACGATCCGTCGTCACCTTGACATTGCTCTCCGCTAGCAGTTTATGCGCTGCCCGACTTTTGCTAAGTTCATTTTAGGATTAAGTGCGCAGCTAAAGTACGCACGTCCGCTCAATCGAGAGCGCTCAGGAAAAGCGGCCTATACATAAAAATTTTTGGGAACCGTTGGAGGCCAGGATTATAGTTCTGGAAACATACATGATTTAAGTCCTGGATCCATACAGGACTGAAAAAGAAATTTCCTTCCATTCTCGGCTATTTCCGATCAAGATAAATTACGCGATTGTCTTCATTTTGATTTCT